CCTACCATCTCCTTCAGCTGCATACATCTGCTTTTCTAACACCAACCATTTGACTTCTGAGGTTTTTTTCCTTTCTTTTTCAAAAGGGCGGGCAGCAGGACCTGAGCCAGTAACACAATGATGGGCACAGGCCCTGCTTGCCTCCTTTTGCAGCACTAAATAAGCAGTTTTGCTGATGGGTGCATAATTTGAAATCAAAATGTGGCTGCAGGAAAAGCAAGAGAGATGCTCGGCTCCCACCCCCACCCCCACATAGACCCTTGCTGTTGTGCAGCGTGGGATGAGTGGTGCCACCTCTTCCTTGTGACCCTCGGACCCTGGCTACATCCTCCTCCTCCCTGGTTTATTGATCTCATCCTTCCAACCCCAAGCCCCTTTACCTGAGGACGTGGACGGAGGCCAGGGGAGAGCTGCTGGTCAAACAACTTCTGCAGGGACTCCAGGGATGGGAGGGTCCGAACGACTTCGCTGGGGGCGGGGGCGACAAGGTGAAGGCCAGGAATTAGTGGGGACCAAGAAGAGGCTTCCAAGGCAGCACCTGCTCTGGTCAGAGACAGTAACCCACAGTCTGGCAAAAGCAGGTAATGCTTCCCAGGACAAGCCCGGGCAAAGACAGAGTCTTGCCAGTGCAGGCCCCCCAACCCTCGACCCTCACCCTTTTGCGCCGTGCAGCAGACTGGAGCTGTGGTGGCAGGACCAACTCTACCTCGGCTTTGGCTTAGCCATTCCAGACTACGTAGCCTCTAGAAAATTTGAATCTAGAATCACAAAACTACTTTGAAACCACTTAGTAATCCATGGTCCCCAACCTTTAGTGATTACAAGAATCACACACATACCCGTGCATTAAAAATGCAAATTTCTCCAACCTGCTTGGGTCTGGAATCTGCATTTTAAATGTGGGGGCTTCCCAGTGGGGCAGTCTGCGAATTCTGATGCAAATCCCCTCCTAGCAGCTGAGATGAGGCCCAGGGGGATTTCTCATTGTCAAATCCACAGATAACTCCAATTCTAGGGCTTTATTGATTCTTGGCTCCAGTCTCATCTTTTTCTATTGTTTTCACATTGTTTTAAGTATGCTGGGTAGACAAGTTTGAGTTCTATTTTTCACTTATTATTTAATCAAAAACTGTTCATGTTTTTACATATTTAACATTCTAATGATTTGAAAACATTCTATCACATAATTGTGCCCAAATCAACTGCCAGGTATTTGGGTTGCACTGAGATCTTTGCTATTTATTTATTTATGCCTTTATTTACAAATAAAGTCTGCTCTGAGCAGCATTGTTCATCCAGCTTTTCTTTTTTTATTTTCAATTACAGAATTAGGATAACCAGAGATTATGGCTCTAGAATCAATATTACCAATCCCCTGCATGATGACGGGCCACCAGCACTGTTCACACCTGCTCACTCACTATCTCCAATTTCTTTCTCTCTCTTTGCTATTTATTTATTTATGCCTTTATTTACAAATAAAGTCTGCTCTGAGCAGCATTGTTCATACAGCTTTTCTTTTTTTATTTTCAATTACAGAATTAGGATAACCAGAGATTATGGCTCTAGAATCAATATTACCAATCCCCTGCATGATGACCGGCCACCAGCACTGTTCACACCTGCTCACTCACTATCTCCAATTTCTTTCTCTCTCTCTCTCTTTTAATGGGCATAACATTGCACTTCAATATTGATGAAGGGATTTGCATATCTTTAATTTCTAATGGCATTAAGTATTTTCCTACTATTGATTTGTACTGTATTTTTCTTTGTATAAAGTATTAAATCTCCTTTGCCAATTTTCTGTTAGGAATTTTGTGAGTGTTTTTATATATTGGTATAAACTTTACAAATTGCTTTGCTTTTTATTCACCTAGGTGTTGGTGGGTTTTTTGTTTTGTTTTGTTTCTCATTAGGTTATTTTCATCCCTAGGTGGGCTGAATTTCATTACAAAGTAATATATAAATTTTTATTTTTCATCTTTTGGCAATTTTTTGCTTACTGTAGTTAAAAATTTATCATCAGTATTTATTAGGGAGCAATTATTTGCTCATTTTAAATTGTTTTCTCTTTTTTGGAGGCTGGCCGGCTCAGAGAACTAAACCCTTGAACATAGTATTACAAGACCACACTCTGAGCTAACCAGCCAGCCCCATTTCCTAACTCTTTTAAAGATTATATGTGGGTTTCATTGTTGTTGTTTTATAGGTGTAATTCCTTACCTCATTTAGAATTTTTTTTGATACGCAGTGGAACTGAGTTCATCTTTCTCTGTATTGCCATTCGGTTTTACTAGCAGCAATAGCCTTGTTTTCCATAGTTCTCTTGGGTTAGGTCATTGTACAAGCTCTTCTTGAATGTGGTGGGATTTGTTTCCAGGCCCCATTTCATTAATTCAATTAGGAATTGAGAGCTCTCCACAGGTACTAGTCAATGCCACATTCGAGCATTTGCAACTGTTTCAAGGATGTTTGAGTTTTCTGGCTTTGAAATGGTCATCCCTGGGACTCTGCTGGGTACCAAGGATGGGGTGGGAGGTGTCTGATAGGGGAGAGGTGGGAAGCCCTGGGCAGGCAGGGTGCTGGCTTTCCATGTCCCCTTCCCCAGAGCTGCCCTGTCCATCTGTTGACACAGCAGTATTCTGTCTAAACTGTCATTTCATGAAAGAATTCAGGGCCAAAAAAAATCTCTAAAGTACTCATTCAGAACATGTTTTAACATCCAACAGATTTCCCTCTTGTTCTCTTTTTTTCAAAATGTTATCCTAAAAACGTAAATATACACAAAAACTGGATTTTTAGGATTTAGCATATCCAGTATGTCTGAAACCAGAACTCCAGACTCGGAAGGAATGTTCTGATGCTTTGTTCTTTCCTTCACTTTTGCTTCCCTTTTTTCTTCTTTTTTGGGTGGCTTGACCTTGACCTTGACCTTAGTCTTACAACACTGCACTCTAATCAACTGAGCTAACCACCAGCCCGCTTCCCTGATTTTGTGCCTCTTTCTCTTATCTTGCTTTAGCAAAAATTTCTCACATAGTGTTAAATAATCAGGTGACAAAAAGCAACTCTTTTTTTTTTTTTTTTAAATTTTAATGGAATGATTTTAATGTTTCCCTGTCAAATATAATTAGTTTTACAGTAACACATATTGCATTATTAAGGAAGTAGCCTTCTATTCCTTCTATTCCTTTTTTTAAAAAATGAGAAATAAATGTAATATTTTATCTATTAGGACATCTATGCAAATGATTTATCTTTTAATTGACTGCTAAATTACAGTGTTTTCTTTATGTCAACTCATCTTTGGAATGATTTCTTAGATAAAGCCTCCATTTTTCATATCGCTAAATTATATTTGCTAGAATGTTACTGAAGTAAGGTACATCTATCTTAATAAATGAAACTGGAGATATTCTTATTTCAGGCTATTATGTTGATTAGGTTTTTGGATTTGAATTACATTTTTCTTGAAGAGTGAATTAGGTGGTTTTTGTCATTTAGGAATAATTTGTACATTATGGTCACTATTTGTTCCTTAAAAGTTTGAAGGAAGCACTCACAGTAATTTTTATGTATCATATTTTATGTAACATATTTTTGCCATTTAATTATAATTTGAAAATTTGCAACTATGCTGTTACACACTATATTGTTTATTGATTTGCAAATCTTTAACTCAGATTATTAAATCTCTACCTTTCTAATTTAAAAATTTTCCCTATTGACTGCTTTTCACAATGTATTTCTGTTTTTATTTTTACCATTTCCCCTTTATTTTTTGTTCTCTTGTGGTTACTGTTTATTCACTCAACTGAGTTTCTTAAAGATTCTGCTTTATTCACTGCTGTGTCTCCAGCCCCTGGAATAGTGTCTGGCATGCAGGTGGCACATAATTAATCTTTGTTCATGAATATTGAATGAATTAATGTTTCAGGTACTTTGCTGAATGCTGAAAACACCAGGGCAATTAGAACATGACCTGTGATGCCTTCAAGAGACTTACAGTCTAGACTCAGTTTACACACTTGCCCCATTATTCTACTCCCCTTTTAGCAACAGAGCATTTAAAGCTATGGCTCTTCCTCCACGGAGGGCTCTGGCTGCATCACCTGGAGTTCTGATACACAGTGGTTCGATTACTCGCCTCTGTGCCCTACACCTACTCCACGTAGGCTATTATTATTTCAGTTCCTTCCTTAATTCAGCTGTGATTTAGGAGGCAATTTTAAAAAGTCCGCCCGGTTGTATGGTTGTGGCTAGTTTTGTTACATATTTCTGTTTTCATCGTGTTGTGTTCTGGGAGTGCAAGTGAACACTTGTGCTCTGACTACGTTCACATCCTGCTGCTCGGTAAGCTGCTGGGTTCTTACTTTTAAGATCACCAGTACTAGAAAACTGCTGGAAAACAAATTCTTAGAAACCTTTGGAAGGAGAGACATTCAATTAGTACAATTCTGAGAATTTTCTGAAAAGATTTCCTGTGCTCTCGAATGACATCTAGGTTGAGCTAATCCCAGATCAGTTGTCTTTTCCTTGGAGATACGGCTTCAGAATTTTTATTGTATTGACAAGGAGTCTGAATAATATTAAATATGGAAAATGTTAAAGCCAGGGTGCTGTTTGTAATTATTTACTTGCTGAATTCATCTTTTCTTGTGATTTAGAAGCGTTAGAAGAAAAAGAAAATAAAATGAAAAAAGAAAAAGAAACAAACAAAAAGTTTCATTAGTAGAAGAGGTTTAGATGTTATTTGATTATTATATTGTTTGGATCCTGATGAGGCTTCTCAATACCTGGATTTAGCTCTTTTATAAGCCTGGAAATTTTTTAAAAATTTTATACATTTAATCATCGATTACACATCATGGTTTTTTCTGCCTCTTCAAGAGACCATCCTACCAGCTATAGGTTGAATCTCTGAGCCTTGTCTCCAAAGACTATCTTTTTTTTTTTTGCTGGCTGGTACAGGCCTTGACCTGGTGTTACAACACTGCCCTCTAACCAACTGAGCTGACCCAAGACCATCAGTTTTTATCACACATTCTTCACATACCCGTGTTTAATCTTCCCATGTTTCTATATTTCCCTGTTTTGTAATTGGATTTTCAAACTTCATTAGAAAACTACGGGTTTATTTTTATGGCCTCTTACAAAGCAAGTATAATGGTGGTAAAGTATGTTTGCTTTCCTTTGTTTGTTTATTAGATTTCTTACCTCACTTTCACATAATAGATAAAACATCCCTTTCCACTCTTTGGTATTTCATTTTTGAATTCCACTTGCAAACCTTAAGCAAGTATAATGGTGGTAAAGTATGTTTGCTTTCCTTTGTTTGTTTATTAGATTTCTTACCCAGCTTTCACATAATAGATAAAACATCCCTTTCCACTCTTTGGTATTTCATTTTTGAATTCCACTTGCAAACCTTACCATGTCTCCATTTCAGCGGTTACCAAATACTTCCAGAGTCTGGTTCCCTTAATTCTCTCTCTCTGGAAGACTTTCTCTCTGGCTCTGGAGAACCTAGCTTGGGGCTGCAAGTCTCCCCTGAGCCTCTGCAGTGCTCACATTCGGCATCTCAGATCCCACACCGATGTCATACGACACTCACACAGAGGAGGCTCCCACACTCTCTCTCATTCAGTTCTCCTGCTTCCCATTCACACCTGGACTCTGAGCGGATGGAGCTGGATCCTGTGGCGCATCCTCAACCCCTTTTCCTCTCCTCCTCCTCCATCTGCCTTTCGATGTCCATCCTGGGCCCTCTTCTCTCTCTGCACTTCTCACCTGCAGCGACCACCCCTGTCCCCCAGCTTTAAGTGCTAGTCACAAGCTCATGATTCCCAAATGTGTACCCCCACGCCGATGTCTCCCTGGCTCTAACTTTATAGCATTGACTCCATGGGTGGTGACTAATATCTATCAAGCCGTTCCCTTATGCCAAGGCCTGTCAAAACCCTGGGACTCTGCAAAAAGCCAAACAGACACCAACCCCTGCCTCCGCTAGCTGCCCTTCCATGGGTTGCCACCATGTCTCACTTGGACCACCAGAGCAGCTCCCAACTGGCCTTCTGCTTTGGGTCTGCCTCCTGTGCTTCAGTCTCCACAGCCCTAAATCAGATCATGGCACAATCCTGTAAAAACTCTGGAGGACCTGGTAAAGCCTTATGTGATGTGGCTCCTGCCTGGGGTTGCCAGATACAATACAGGACACCTAGCTGAATTTGAATTTCAGATAAACAATGGATAATCTGTTAGTGTAAGTATATCCCAATATTGCATGGCATATACTTATACTAAAAAAGTATTTGTTGCTCATCTAAAACCCAAGGTTCCCTGGGCATCCCGTGGTTTTATTTGTGACCCTGGCCTCTCCCTGGCCTCCACTCCTGACACTGCTGTTCAGTCCTTATCTCGCAGCCACACAGACTTTCTGTTCCTTGAGCAGGCTGGCTTCATTCCTGCCTCAGGACCTTTGTACTTGCTGTCTCTCTGCCAAATGGCTGGATGGTAGCTCCCTTCTGTCACCAAAGTCCCAGCTCTGTCACCTACTTGACCCACAAAGGAAACCTGCAGTGTCCCAGCCATCTTCTCTCCCTCACATTATCTTGTTTCATCTGAACATGGTCTTGTCTGTACACTTAGTGAACTGCTGTGCTCCTCACTAAGTTGTTAGCTCCAGAAAGGTCTAAAAGAGCAGGAACCCTGTGCACTGTGTTTATTGCTGTATCTCAGCACCCAGAACAAGGTTCAAAAGAGGCCCTCAATACATGTTTGTCAAATGTATGAATGAACAAACGAACAAATGAATGAATGAGTGACCTATTCCAATTGAAGCAGTTTGAAAACTACAGTTTTGCCGTTCCGTGGAACAGCATCTGGACGGGTGGCAGGGGGATGGAAAACATAATTTTCTTCCTATCTAAGATTTCCTAAAATTCCATTCCTCAGTTAACCCAGTCTCCAAACCTGGCTGTCACTTTTCCTGTGAAAGAGAAGACAAGAGTACAGGGTAAATTTAGAACATTGCAGTGTCTCTAGGTCTAACCTGAAGTTAACTGTCCAGTAAATAGAGACGTTGAACAGCTAGAAGTTGAAGGAAGCTTTTTCTGCTGGCACCACAGACCAGAGAAGTAGGCAAGTTGGGAAAGCTGCTGTTACCATAGTAATGAGGTGACCCAGATGCCGGGGAAGTCCAGGTAGCAATGCAGTTTTGGCAAAAGCTGCCAAAGCATATGGGGGAAGATTCTGGGGAAGCCTAGGGGAGAGACTTAAAAATACATTTATGCTTCGACAGGGAAGCAGCAAACAACAGGATTTTCGTCGAAGCAGAAATAAAAGCTTGTCATCAGCCATCATGAAATGGTGTTTCTTAAAAAGCAAGTGCCATTTGTATCTGTTTTCCCCTAGCGATGAGTGATTTATAACAATGGCATTGAATGGAACAAAATCCCTCCATGGAAATCTATAAAAATGACAGCTCCCGGTCCAATTGGCTAGCACTGTATTAGCTGAAAGCCAATTCACTGAAATTAAGCCTAACTGGCCAATTTGATGAGTGCTCAATTTGTCAAAGAAATTATTTGTTAAATTTACCAAATGTACTGATCGTGCTTTTACCAACCTTGAAAAGGAACATTGAATTTGATTACTTGTGATGAAAGATTCTTTTCTGCATATTAACTAAGCTAAAATTGATATGGCACCAGAGAAATTGACAAGAGAATCTTGCAGCTGCTGTATGTGTAAGAAAACACAAAGCAGCCTGGACTGCAAAAATCTCGCCCATAGGAAATGCTATTATTTTTCCAACCCAAATGTTAACCTTTCATTTGTGATGGGATTCTTTTGGCTCCTTGTGACATCTTTTGGATGCTTTGGAATGTTATTTTTTCCCCCAAGCTTTTAAAATATTCTTTGCTAACTCTTCAGATGGCATATCAGAGTTACTTTTGCATTTCTAACACTTAAAATGAAACTTGAAATTAATTTTAATGTTAATTGAATTAAGAACATAAAATCAAAAGAAACCACAATTTTTACCAATTGGTCATTCAGTAAATTCGATATTGGAAAATTGAAATTTTGGTGAATCAGCTCACTTTAAAAAAACTGCCACCACTGGAATCTCAGGCCATCACCACCCATGCAGAAAATAGACCGACTTTAGTTTATTTCCCCTTGTGTGCTTGTGCTGAGTCCTGAGCGAGTGAGAGAGCACTGGCAATGTCCTCCCACCCCCAGCCCCTTCCTAGAAAAGCTGGCCTCAAATTAACTTTAATCTAAAAAAGAAAAAAAAAAAAAAGCTATAGTTCAAATTCTATGAAAAGAAAACCTCCAAACAACCACAAAGATTTCTAAACTCTGCCGACTGCCCAATTATTGTGAGTACAGCAGAGGCATTTGGACAGCCAGGCAGAGCGCAGGGTCACCCTAACGAGCGGGGCTCAGCCGTCCCCCTCCCATCCCACCCCCATGGGGCAGCCCTTACCCATGGAGCTCCTTGCAGAGCAGTGCGGTCAGTTTCTTCAGATGAGGAAGACTGCTGGAGCCCGACTTCACAAATTCAGAGTCCAGAGTGAGCTGAGTGCTTAAGTAATCTTGTATGGCTTTAAGATGCTCTTCTGGAAGCCTGAAAAAACAATAAATAAAAGCATGCTTAACCTGTTCCCCTGTTAGCCACAAACAGTTAACAGCAGCATGGTCCTTCAGGAGAACATTTGCACGCCGTCCGCAGGTTCCTTCGGTCTTACTGAGAGGAGGAGTAGAAGGTCAGAGCAAAATGAAGGGGTCCAGAAAGGGAGGGTGCCTCTCGACTGAGCACCTTTGGGTGCTTCTGGAAGGAAGTGAGTCTGTCTGGGGGTTGGGAAATCATTAGCCTTTAAAAAGGAGACAGAAAGGCTTGGAAAATGTAGACTGAATTGTTTCCCTACCTTATCCACTCATAAAGACAGGACCTGAGGGCTGGAAGGGTGATCTTATCAGAAGTGGAGAAGGCTTTGCTTACATGCACCGTGCTGAGGAAGGAGGGTTTGGAGCTCTGTGGGAGTCTGTGCGATTAGTGGTGGGGCTGGGAACACAGGATGAGGTAGTGGCAGTCCAGGTGTCTTGACTTCGCCCTCCCAGCTCTGCCCCATCCCCTTCAATTTACAAAGTGAATGGGACTGAAAGGCAGGATTTGCTCACTGTGTACATTGGCCCATGTGGCAGAGGCACAGGTAGGATGCCATCGGGGGCTGTCACCTAAAGTCTGATCATACCCCTACATAATTCCATCTCCCCGTGCCTTTTTTCTGTGTAACTTTTGAGTCTTAGTTCCCATCATAATGAAAATCATAACAACGGCAAATAGTTCCTGGGCATAACATACCAGACACCATGCTAAGCATTTTATGCTCACGTTCTTCTTTAAGCTACAAATCAATTTTATGAGACAGATATTATATTATTCCTGTTTTATAAATGAGGAAACTGAGGCTGCAGAATATTACCTGTGTGAAAAAATTATTACAAGCCTTAAAAATCTTTGTTCCAGCCTTAACATATAATGAAGTTGAAACTAGAGGCCACAAGTATTTTTCTGTAGGATCCATGAAAGAATAAAAATCCGTTCCTCTTAAGACTGGACAGGACTGGATTAGCCGTTTTGACTTGTTTAGATTGAGAAGTTAGGAGCTATTGATATGCCAGTTATCATATATTTATGTTTAATCTATATTTATTATGAGTCTTGACTTCATAAAAATCCAGTTTCTGCCTACAAAGGACAAATATCTCTCCTATCGTATTAAAATATGTATCTTGGCCGGCCCGGTGGCGCACTGCTGTGGTGCGCCGCTTGGGAAGCGCGGCGGCGCTCCCGCCGAGGGTTCGGATCCCACATGCGGACCGGTTCCCGCTCACTGGCTGAGCGAGGCGCGGGAGCAACACCGAGGGCTGCGATCCCGTTGCCGGTCCCGGTCCGGTGCGGGGGCGACACTGAGGGTTGCGAGCCGTTGCCGGACACGGAAAAAGACAAAAAAAAAAAAAAAAATGTATCTTAAGAGTTCTAAGGACTATGGACATGGAACTTGGAGACCATGAGTTCATGTTATATGAAGCTATATGTGTTAAAATGTTTGTTATAAGAAAGTGCTGATATAAGATGTAAACTATGTTTATCCAAGAAGGTTAACTTACTCAGAAACCTGGTAATAATGAACCTATTCACTATTACCTAACTGATGAGATCTAAATAACTTGCACACAAGACTGCACAGGTTGTCCTATAATTAAGAATAATCTGGGGAAGTCCTCCATGTGGAAAGCCCCTTGACAAGCAGAACAGATTAATTTTAAGACACAATGCAGAGTCTCAGTTCTTGAGCCGCGAGAGAACCGAGCACAGGCATGTGTTGCTGATTTCCTTGCTCTCTGCACCATGCTCCATTCACTCTCTCCCATCTCCCAGCAGAAGCTTCAGGAAGGCTCCACTGCCACGTGTTAGCTGAGAAGCAAGACTAGAAAGAGCTGCCTCCCCTGCCCACCTGCCCTCAGTGGCTGCCAAGAGATCGGTGAGCTGGGCCGAGAAGGCAGAAGGGGGCCCCGTGGGGGCGTCCTCAGCTCTTCTCCTGGGAGCTCACTGCACTGAGCATCCCAGCCTGGGGAGAAATGGAGACCCAAGGAAACTAAATGGTGGGCTCTTCATGGAATAATTTAATAAGCATTTGTATTTACAACATTGGATATTCAGCTATTTGACAAATGGCACAAGGAGCGGGCAGAGAATACACCCTGGTGGGCCTAGAGACGAGCCAAGGGGTCTGCTGCGGTGGAAATACAAGAACACCAGGGGTCTCAGCGGGGGTGGCTTCTGCAGCACAAGGAGCGGGCAGAGAATACACCCTGGTGGGCCTAGAGACGAGCCAAGGGGTCTGCTGTGGTGGAAATACAAGAACACCAGGGGTCTCAGCGGGGGTGGCTTCTGCACACCCTCCGGCGTTTCCTTTGTATCTTGCCCAGTCAGGGGGCAGGAGAACAGCCCTGGCAGCCCCAAATGGGTCTTCAAGTTGGAGGTGCTGCTTCAGCTCTGCCTTAAGGACTTTCTTTGTGTGTGTTTGGGGGTTGGGGGGAGCTTTTCTCACAAAGAAACAAAAGAAAGTTTTTAAATTATTAACATGTGGAAGTTACTGTGAACTAACATTAATTCACTCTCCACATACCCCGTGAGTGCCCATTCTATTCCAGGCAACATGCTGGGCTCTGGGGACACAGGGCCCCCATGGAGCTTTCTTCCTGTCACAGCCCATTTCCCTGGCCTGTCTCGTTCTTTGTGTGTGTTTGGGGGTTGGGGGGAGCTTTTCTCACAAAGAAACAAAAGAAAGTTTTAAAATTATTAACATGTGGAAGTTACTGTGAACTAACATTAATTCACCCTCCACATACCCCATGAGTGCCCATTCTATTCCAGGCAACGTGCTGGGCTCTGGGGACACAGGGCCCCCATGGAGCTTTCTTCCTGTCACAGCCCATTTCCCTGGCCTGTCTCGAAGAGCACGGTGTAAAGGCCTCTGATTTGCAAGATAGCAAACCCCCCTTTCAGGAGACATCACCATCTCCCTTCTGGCCACCAGATGGATAAGTAGGATCAAAACCCAGCGTCATCCAACCGGGGAAGTGCTGGGCTCGCTGCGGGAGGAGCGGGACTGTACGGCAAGGAAGATGCAGTCAGTGGCGTGCACCTGGGACCCGAGCCTGAGGACACTGGAGCAAAGGGAGCCAAATATAAAAGGGTCCAAGTGACCACCTCTGGTTCCCTCCACCACAAAGAAAGGAGCACCACGCCACGTAGACATCGTAATCCATGCTACATGTGGAAATATCACTGTGACCATTTATTGGTGACAAGGAGGGTGGCCAGCGGGAAAGCGCTGTGCAGCAGTCCGGGCAGCTCGCCTGCTTGGGCTGTGTGACTCTGTAAACCCCACGGTAGTAGAGGCGTTTGTGTCAAAAAAAGATGCCATGTGCAGCTTATGACCAGTCCCATAATAGACTCACAGCACAGTCCCCTGATGTCCTGGAGTGGGGCCCTGCCATCTGCAGCAGAGAACCCTCCATCATTCCAGAACCAGCTCCTGCTGCACCCCTGGGCCTGGTGGAGACCGGGCATCCACATGTTTACAACCCTGGGGCCCAGCTGGTTTCCTTTAGGTCTGCCTAAGCCCACCCCACCTGCACCACAGGAATTGTGCCACCCCCTGGTCTCCCAACTCTCGGTGGCCAGCCCCCCCTGAGCTAACCTTTCTGAGGCTCAGTGTCACATCTGCAAGAGGAGACAGTCCCTTCTGCATTAGACTGCTGTGGGAAGGCAACCAAATAGCAGCTACGGTCTTCCAGGGTGCGCCGCACCCCCTCGACGCTTCAGACTTCTCGCCAAAGAATGACAAGGACCTTCTAAGTATAAAAGTGATTTTGCGTTCACAAAGGAACGACTGATGCTCTTACATAAGGATTTAAAACTTATAAATGTAAAAACATCCTAAAACTTAAAAAGTAAGTAACCAGCTAGAAGACAGAATTTTTTTTCAAAGTTGATGGACAAATGGTTAATATACAAAGAGATCATCAAACTTGATAAGAAAAACATTAAGATCCTGATAGAAAAATAGGTAAAGGACATAGACAATTTGAGGAGGAGATAATATAATTTTGGTTAAAAGTAAATAAAAATTTTTTCAACCTCACCAGGAAGGAAATGAGTGAAAATGAACGCAGTCGTTGACTGCAGGGATAAAAGCATCGCTCCGCAGGGCGGAAAGGCCCAGCATGTTCCCCAGACCTGGGCCAGGGCTGCCTGGGTGTTGTGGGCCGCAGGGCGGGTGGCCGCTGAGGGGACCTGCCAGGTGGGGACTCACCCGCTGGTGTCCATGCTGTGCAGTCGCTGAAACAGGGTCTCAGACAGGCTCGGCCGGCTGACCTCGGCCGCTCGGGGATTCTCGATTGGAGGAGGAACCTCCTTGGCCTCACAGGGCCCTGTAGATACAGGGATGTTTCTTGGTGGCAGCTCAGGTGGAGACAGGACATTTTCTACCAAGAGAACAGCAGGAAGGCCGTTGGTGAGAGCAGGTGCACGTAACCCCACCTCGCACGCCTCCTTGCAGCCCCGTGAGGGCCAGGCCACCGCGCCCACTGTCACACGTGTCCAGCTCTGTCCCCATTGTCCCCCCTGCACTTTCTCGCCAACTCCCTGACTAGACGGAGAGCCTCCTGTGGCAGGAGCCTGGTCTTAGTGGTCGCTGGACCCGGGCCTAGCACAGAGTCTGCCCCTCTGTAGTGTTCAGTGAACACTTGCTGGGGTCAGATGGCCCTGCCAGGCAGAGGGTCTGGGGGGGTCTGAAGGGCTGCTGACCTCAGACACAGTGAGCCAGCAGCCTCAGGCAGGTTGGCAGGACAGGCCCAGCTCCCAGGGGCCGAGCCCTGGACTGGGCAGAGGCCAGTTCCCAGAATGGGGCCAGAGCCACAGGAGAGGGACCGGGGCGGGAAGCAGGCAGGCCCAGCCACGCTGCTCCCCTGTCCTGCCCACTGCAGCCCAAACTGCCCCTCTCTCTCACACCCCACCCCCTTCCTACTGTCTTCCTCCAGACCCTTGGAGACAAATAGAAGGTGAGGGGGTTTCCTTCACTCAGAGGACTGAAATATTAAATGACTTGAACTTGGCCTGAGAGACAGGACCCCTGCCCACCAACTTTAGGAGACTTTCCATCCTGCGTGTATTACAAACAGGCAAGGGTCATTGAGCCCCTCACTCCAGGTCTCCCTGTCCAAGCCTCTTTCCACACCTAGTGGCCCAGCCACAGCTCTGGCCGGGGAACTTCTTTTTAAAGGACAAGCAAGTCACTTCCTCTCCCGGCCCGGGGCTCTGAGGACACTTGCGTCTGTGTTGTGCCCCATGGGGACTGGCCGCGCCTTCAGAAGACCCGAGCCAAATCAGACACCTTGGGCAGCGGGGGCGATGTCACATTGCGCTGGTTCTGGCTGACAACCAGGCGGCTCTGTCTGAGGAAGTGAAGCCAGCAGTCACAGGACTGGGGTCCTTTTTCCATCCCTCACAGAAAGTATGTCAGGGCCTTTCTCCAGACAGCCATCCCCAGAGAACACAAGCTGGGGTGGGTGGCCCAAGGGAAGTGAGGATGGGAACATGGGGAGAGCATTTCTGCAGGACAGCATCTCAGTGGTCAAGGCCAAGGCTGCCCGCGGGGCCGAGGGCACCTGGGGACAGCTGGGTCACACGTAGCCAGGGCATGGTGCTGGTGAGTGGCTGTGGCTCGCACGTGGACACGGCACCTCTGGCTACTCCACAGGAGGACCTTTCTGATCCCGGAGGGCACCTCTCACTCAGACCAGGGAGGCAGGAAAGGAGGTGGCCTGCCGGGTCCCTCAGGAAACTCGCCCAGCCTGGCCCTCACCTTGCCTCTGACAAAGCCACCCCTGAGCTATGCAACAGCAAAAGGGGGTCTCCAGGAAGGCAGGAGGACACAAGGGCTGCTGGCAGCCCACAGCCCACCCATGGGAGGGGGATAAAAAGGGTGCCCAGCGTGCGGCTGGCAGCAGCCCACCAGGGACAGGTGGGACACAAGCCAGAGGCCTCACTGCCTCTAGTCAAATCTTCCTCTCCCAGGGGACAGCCTGTGAGACCTGGTGGTCTCCAGGTGCTGAGATTTAGGAGGAGCCCTGACCAGCCGAGGGGCTCAATTAGGTATCTCATGGTCTTCTTTTAGGAAATGAACTGTTGAGGGGAAAAGAGCCCCCGGCCCCAGGCGAGCTCTCTTTCTGCATTTCTTTGTCTGTCTGATTCTTGCTCTGTTGGTCTTTGACCCTCTGCTGTGTAAAAGGCTGGCCCAAGTCTCACGTGCTATTTAGGGACTGTACATTTTTTTCAAAATATTTTTAGGAGCTGTACATTTCCCCCACCTTTCTCATCTTTCCAGTTCGGTGCAAGGTTGTCCCCATTCACTTTCCTCCCAGTGAAGTCCAGCTAATCATGATAATAATGACAGTGGTTGCATTTACTGAGAGCTTACTGCATCCCAGGCTCTGGGCACTACGTTCCCTGACTCATTTGATCCTGTAACAGCCTGGGAGGTAAATAATATCTTTACTGTCTGTTTAAAGAAGTCTGTGGTTCAGAGAGGTTAAGTAACTTATCCAAGGTCTCACAGCTAATAAGCTGGGGAGCAGGAATTCCAACCTGTGTCTGTCTGACTCCAGAGGCTGTGTTTCTAACTTGTCCCTAACCACCATACCACACTCTATCCCTCGGATGACAGGGCCCTCCTAATCTGCAAGCACTTGCAATGTTTGGAGGGCAGGCTCCTGGAGCACCTCGGCCTCCTGCTGCCCGTCCTTCCCCCCCTACCCGTGTCCTCCTCAGGGTCATCGCCTGCGTCTTCCTCCTCCAGTGGCACAGGGTATTGCAGATGGGTCACCAGCCCCATGTTTTCCTTCTTGTAAAACTCGATGAGCTGGTCCAGCTTAGTGAAGAATCTCATGGGAACACCTTCTGATGCCTGAGGACAGAATCCCCAAACAGAAACACATTTTAACTGACTAGAATGTCACCCAACCACAAAGGCCCACCTGCAGCAGAGACCCACCAGGCAAAGGGAGGGACCACAATCCAGGAAAATCCCTGGGCTCCTAATCAGGGAGTCCGTCCCCCACACCCATGCTCTCACATCCTGCAACCAGCAGCTCTTAGAGCCCTTCTGCAAAAGGCACAAAGAGGATAATTTTAAAAATCTTTTTTTCTTTCAGTGAAAAAAAAAAAAAAACTTTTATTTTTAAAAGTATTTTGTTATGCAAATGATACATTCTATTATGGAAAAACTAGAAAATGCAGCTTTTTAAAAAAGAAATCACCTGTAATCCCATAACCCCAAGAGACCTATTTTCAATAGTTTAAAATACATTTTTCTAGACTTTGTATGTGTGTTCAGTGGGGAGAGTCATTTTTATTTTTTCCTCCATAAAGATCATTTATTTGTAAACACAGGAGAAACCTATTCTAGCAATTGCTTTGCTTTTATTTTTTCATTTGTTATAATTCTGTTTTATCAACACTCAGAAAATGGTCTAGGCAGCACAAAAATGTTCCCTAGTTTATATCTCTGTTGCTAGGAGCCTGGGGGTAATGCTGCTAGCTGTTCAAATGCCCTAGGGCTGGGTCCCCTTCCTCTAAGTCCTGTGGCTCCAGCAGGAAGTTCCAGGTGGTTCCTGAGCAGCCAGCCTCCCCCACCCCTCTCCAAGGCCCCACCCTCAGGGGTAGCTAGACAGGAGCGAGGAATCAGACTGGTGGCGGGTGAGGGAATGGGCACCAAAGAGGGCCCCCTCTGGGTGGGACTTCCCTGGCCTCGAAGGAGCATAGCCCTCCGGCCCCAGCCACTAAGTGCCTGTCATTCACCTCTGTCATCAGAACAACCATCACGTCAATGACTGTCAGGCAATTTTAAAATTAGTTGGAAAGGTGCCATCTTTGGAGTTGGAGGTCAGGGGTCCAACTGCTTCCTTGGGGGTTGCGAGCTGCCTTCTTTCTGAAGGTCGTCAGGATTACAGGCGAGTGGGATCGGGGCAGAGGATGAGGCAGAATCACCCAGACTGGGACAGACTCAGACATCTGGGAACAGGACTGGGACTCAGACCTGTCTCTGAGCCCTTGTTTCTGGGTGGTTAACTCCAAGCTGTAGTGAGGACACTGCCTCCAATGAGAATACACCTGTCTCATTCGCCTCTGACTCAGGGCTGTCCACTCAGGTGCTCTCTGTCTCTTCCTGTCTCTGTCTCTCCCTGTCTCTGTCTCTCCCTGCCTCTGTCTGTCTGTCCTCGTCTCTCCAGGCCTATTTGTGTGTGCATATGTACTGCACACATGTGTGTGCATGGGTGTGCATGTGTGTTTGTGTGTGTGGCTTTAACTATTTAGTAAATTTATAGAGTTTAACAAAAGGCCTTATAAATTCTTTTCAATAAATTCCCTTGTTTTCACAAAGCCCCATGTTAAGCAATCTCTTTCAAGCATTGTCAAATCAGAAATATCTCAGCAGCAGTAGCCGGGCACTCTAAAAAGTAACTTGAATAGGTTCAAAACCAAAAGTCAGCAGAATAAGCAAAATAATGTGACGCAATACAAGATCTATGAGCTAGATTCAGTTAAAGCAGTCATGATAAGTGTCATCCTGTCAAAGAACTTACAGCTAATGGGTGACAAGCCACTAGGCATATGGAAAGGGGATATGAAAATATAAAAGAAGGTAAAAATGGAGCCACTTGTGTGAATCTGGGAACGGATTCTCATCTGGAGGATGTCTAAGGAGAGCTGTTTGAGCGAGCACATGGTCAAAAAAGTAAGCATCTTAGAGTGAATGAAATACGGTGTGTACTAAGCTGGCAGAGGAACAGGACAATCTAAAAGAAATCCCTGTGGATCCAGTGAGGCGGGAGCAGCTAGAAGCCAGCGGCAGGTGCTGAATGCTGTCGGGGAGGCAAACTTGCCAGGACACTGCTTGTGCTTGGACCATTCACAGAGGCCAGGGGTCCAGGGACTGGCAGGCCACAGCAGCTGGCTGCCCAGGTGGCGCAGGTTCCCAGGAAGGTTGGGAATGCAGATTGGAGTCCAAACGTCAAGGACAGTGGAGCAGCCTGTCCCAGTAATGGGCGGCAAGCTAGTGCTGGCCACTGATAGTCCCTGCTGGGGAGGGAGGCCTTTAGCTCCCCCACCGCTCACGATGGGAAAGCACCCAGGAAGCCCATCGGGCCCTTCTGCAGGAAGCAGATCCACAGGTGGCAGATCTCACCTGAAGGGAAGACTCACTTTGCACACGGGGCCAGCAGGAAGCAGCCTGTCCCCACAGGCGGCACATGGACGCAGAGGAAACAGTGAAGACAGGGCCCCTAACTAGGCCAGAGCTAGGGTCTTCTTGGAGGAATTGCCCAGAGAGGGTGTCCTCCTACATCTTTGATCTTGGCACTAAGATTTGACAGGGCTAACAGACTCCATTGACAATGTATTTTCAAAGCACATTCTAGAACAGGAAGAGGAAGAGAAAGGGTCAGCGTGCCAAGGCAGTGATTATAGAAGCTGCTAGCTAGTCCATACTGGGGCGGGGTGAGGAACGTGGCCTGGACAGGTAGGTGGGAGCCCCAATATGTACAGCGCAGAGGGGAGCAGCCCACCACGGCACCTCATTCTCAGGCTGGCCCCACATCCAGGCAGAAGACCAGGAGGGCCAGGCAGTATGGCCAGTGAGGGGGTGGGGCTCTTGAAAGGGCAGCAACACTGGGGTGACCTCACAAACCCCACCAAGTCAAAGCCAGGAGTTGGGAGGAGGGGCTTCCAGGGAACAGTGTCTTGACCACAAGACAGCAGGAGCAGCGAGGTCCTGCAGGCACAGGCTCCTGTCCACAGCAGATCAAGGCCATATCCAGAGGAGCCAGGTAGGTCAGCTTGCTTCTGCTGTGTCCTGGATTGTACGGCGCAGGGTCTGGCCATTTGGTAAGTGATTAGTGGCTAGATGGATGTGCTGCATTCAGGTCAGGATGACAGCCAAGAGTTGGAGCCAGGAGGAGAGATGGTCAGGGAAGACCTTTTGCAGGTCTGGGTCTGAGGGTGCAGAGAAACAGTGGTGGGGGTGGGTAGCTGAGGAGCACCCCTGTCCCCTGCCTGTGAGTGCAACTACCAAAGGTGATGCCTTTTTAACAATTTTAACACATGAAATGTAGACAAGAGGGTGCCATGTGCATTAGTCAGAGACCTGGCAGGAAGCAGATGTCACATTAAACTGGGGAGCTTGGGGAGAATTGAGTGGATGGGGTGCAGGGATACCAGTAAGAGGTGGTGCAGCACCCCAGAGCTAGCAATGGTGGGGAGCAGTTTCCATCCATGGAAGACCACAGGTAAGGGGCAGGTGCTGGGACCCAGAGAGGTTGACTGGCAGGGCCCACGGGGACCTCACAGGAACGGTGTCGGGACAGCAGATCCTCCAGCCTCACCCATCTGTCACCCTCCTGTCATCTAGCTATGGCTCCCATTGGCCAAACCCAACCAGAAACCAGGGAGCAGGGGAATGCAGGGCCCACGGGGACCTCACAGGAACGGTGTCGGGACAGCAGATCCTCCAGCCTCACCCACCTGTCACCCTCCTGTCATCTAGCTATGGCTCCCATTGGCCAAACCCAACCAGAAACCAGGGAGCAGGGGAATGAGTGGATCTGGGGGCACACAGAGGATGCTCAGCATATGAAGTTCATGATGAGAAGGCGCCCAAGCAAGCAGCAGGAAAGCAGACCCCTGTGTGTCTGCACGAAATGTCCGGGCTCAGATCAGGAGGTGGCACCAGCCATGTTTCTGACCAACAAGGGGGCTGCCCTGGATTCTTAACGGTCCAGGCTGCCAGACTTTGTTCCTCATTCTTCAGCAACCACCTTCCTGAAAAGATTTATAAAGTCATTTTGAAATAGAGAAGGAAGCGCTGAAGGCCCATGTTAGCCGTGTGCTGGGAACACGATCCCCAAACTGTTCCTGACGCTACAAGGGGGGTGCCCACAGACCACTGGATTTCTGCTCTGTGGCAACTCTCCTGCTTACCAGGAATGAATTCCTTCTCTCTTTAGCAGGTAACTGGAGCACATAAGAGACAGCCTGATTTTGCAAAAGCCAAGAAAAGTATTTCCTGCTGTAACTGGGCCTGTTAACTTATGACGTCTCAGGCACAGAGCAGACCTCTCTTCAGAGTTTATCAGATCAACAGAGCGGACATGAACATATGTTCATAGCCAAAAGTCACACAGGAGAAAATGTGGTAGGGTTAGTTCAGATCGTGAAACAAAATACCTATCTCTTCTCCTGCCTCCCATTAAAATCTCCAGGTCTATGGAAAGTTCCAGGCGACTTCCAGCACAAATCGTTTCCAGGAAACCTCTGCAGACCCCTCCCCACCAAGCCCAGCTTAGATTCAACAGCTCACGGTGCCTCGTGTTATAGTCTCTGTGCCATCCTCCCCAACAAGCTCGTAAGTCTTTGGAGGAAAGGGGCCCTGCTTAGTGTAGCCTTAGAGTCCCCCAAGTCTCCTTGCAGGAGAGGCTGGTTAGAAACTTAATGACAGGCCGCACCACTGTTTTGAGAGATGTACTCATCTCTTTGCATAAAATGGACCTCCTCTGTGCCTAGTCCTATTTCAGTTCCCCATTTAGACACAGCAGACAGTGCTAAAGTTAAAATTACCCTTTGTGAAATTTAGCCCGTCCAGTGCTTTGAGTCTCCTGGCCTGTCGCTCCTACCCCTGGTAGGTGTTTGAAAGTCTTAGCCTAAGACTATGTCCGGAGACACGCCCTGAGCCTCAACAGGCTGGACCTCAGCTGTTCTTTGTCTTAAAGAGGGACCCACCTCCTCCTGGGCCTGCCTCTGCCTTCTGCGTCTCTGCCAGCCCCCGAAATGCTTTCCTATGTTTCCCATCTGCCCTCAGGACCGTTCTCAATCTTTTGCCATCTCCTCTCCCCCAACCTGAGAATAACAGAC